TGACCGACGAACAGCATCTATAAGGAGAAAAGGCAGAATAAAAACAGTGGAAATATGATTCAAACACAAGGCTGAAATACTGATAAACAAATAAATGCATGCATGGTGGCATGGTGATTTTAAGCGGAGAGCCACCTGCATAAAGCACACAAGCAAAAACCTTATATAAACATAAAGTAAGGGTTTCAATCAATTTATGATACCCATATAAAACAACAAATAATGTAGTAAAACGTTATTTCGATCATTTATAAATACATACACACTGTAACTCCCCAGAACTTTGGGGCATGGCAACGTTAAATACAACAATGGGGGTAAAAGGGGTCGAGGAGGGTCTTTTAAAAAGACGAACGATATGGTTTAACTTATGCAGGGAATCCCAACATCATATTCAAATCGTATGCTTGTTTGAATGGATTACGCAAGTTTGAATTTAACCCCGCGTGAAATAAGAAGCAGCAAATAAGGAACCACACGATATTATAAAATGCTGCAAGATACTTAGGGTCGGGCATCAATGAGTTATTGTTAGGGTTGCCAAAGCTTTGTCTAGGTTAGAGTCAATCATCCCCGTATTAGAAATGGTCTTCTGCTAGTGTCGGAAGAGAGGGGGTTTATATATTAATATACGACCGTAATCTCTTACAAGCAGTTAAAAAGGCGTTAAGCGGCATCCATACGGGATTTATTAAATTATCACAAATTTTTACTTATGGGAATGACAGAGGAACCCACAAGAATATTATTGTAGTCTGAATGGTCGAGAATATGCGAGGCCCAGGTAACTGAATAGAAGAAGGTAAAACGTTCCCTGGGAACAGGGGTTTATTTGTCGGAAAATTCGAAAATTTGGCCTAGCCAAGTGGTTGTTTCAACGTCTCAAATTTCTAACTCAGGGCTCTGCAACGATCGTCAGCTCAGCTGAGCAATTCATAAAAAAGCTGCAGGGTGTTCAATTAACACATGACGAAGTGATGGTAGCTTTCGATGTGACCTGACTTTTCACCTCGATACCGCAATATCTTGCGGTTGAAAACATCCAAACCCCGTTAGAAGAGGAGTACAAAGAGACGAGCACGAAGCTCAAAATAAGGCATCTCACTGGACTCCTGAAACACTGCTTGAGCACCTTTTTCACCTTCAGTGGAACGGTG